AAGCCTGCAGCTGCCAGCTTTGGCGGCCGCTTCCGAAACAGGAAAACACCATGGCATGCCGGTCCCAACGGCGCTTCCGAGGCCCCGGTGCCAGTGCCTAACGTCACTTTCTGAAACGACTAGAAAACTAGCCTTTGAAGCCTGCAGCTGCCAGCTTTGGCGGCCGCTTCCGGAACAGGAAAACACCATGGCATGCCGGTCCCAACGGCGCTTCCGAGGCCCCGGTGCCAGTGCCTAACGTCACTTTCTGAACCGACTAGAAAACTAGACTTTGAAGCCTGCAGCTGCCAGCTTTGGCGGCCGCTTCCGAAACAGGAAAACACCATGGCATGCCGGTCCCAACGGCGCTTCCGAGGCCCCGGTGCCAGTGCCTAACGTCACTTTCTGAACCGACTAGAAAACTAGCCTTTGAAGCCTGCAGCTGCCAGCTTTGGCGGCCGCTTCCGAAACAGGAAAACACCACAGGAAAACACCATGGCATGCCGGTCCCAACGGCGCTTCCGAGGCCCCGGTGCCAGTGCCTAACGTCACTTTCTGAACCAACTAGAAACTAGCTCCAAGCTAGCCCAGAGAGCCAAACGTCACTTTCTGAACCGACTAGAAGTGAAGGACGGATCTTCTTTTTCTTCGTCTTCTTCGTTTTCTTGTTCTTCTTGTGGCTTCTTTCTGAACCGACTAGAAAACTAGCCTTTGAAGCCTGCAGCTGCCAGCTTTGGCGGCCGCTTCCGAAACAGGAAAACACCATGGCATGCCGCTCCCAACGGCGCTTCCGAGGCCCCGGTGCCAGTGCCTAACGTCACTTTCTGAACAGACTAGAAAACTAGCCTTTGAAGCCTGCAGCTGCCAGCTTTGGCGGCCGCTTCCGAAACAGGAAAACACCATGGCATGCCGGTCCCAACGGCGCTTCCGAGGCCCCGGTGCCAGTGCCTAACGTCACTTTCTGAACCGACTAGAAAACTAGCCTTTGAAGCCTGCAGCTGCCAGCTTTCGCGGCCGCTTCCGAAACGGGAAAACGCCATGGCATGCCGGTCCCAACGGCGCTTCCGAGGTCCCGGTGCCAGTGCCTAACGTCGCTTTCCGAGCCTGCTAG